AATAATTTTTTTGTTTTCTTACCAAAGCATAGACTTTGCCATTGCTTTATTTGGGGGTATCCATTTTGTAATTGCAACTCCTCCTGCAAAAACCCCTCATTACAATATATAGATACTTTCTCTCAATCTTAGTAACAGTATGCAACATGAGTAATAATTAAGGCTAATTTGTACTTGTTTGAAAGAAATATGGCTGCAAGGTACTTTTGTGGTATAGTTAGTCTTCAGGAAAATTAGATACGATTTAGTTCAATAGATTTCTCGTCAGCAGAAACCTTCTATTATCAAATCATAGCAGGAAACTCGCATCGGTCCGGCGCCATTCTTATGAGACATACCATCATACGGTGACTTCCTAAAAAGAAAAAGAAACTTCACGTTGAAGGCTATATAAAATTGAGAATGGAAATGGGGAATGTGTCAAAGAGACAACAACCCGACCATAGAGCAGACAACAGCCGAAGGCCACCAATGGGTCTTCAATGCAGCGAGAAACTCCCGCACCCGGAGGCGTCCTTCAGCTGGCCCCTAAACAAATATGTATACTAGTTCAGTCATAATGGACGTCACACTAAACTCCAAATTATACACAGGAAACTAAAATTAAAAATGATACAAGACTAACAAAGGCCAGAGGCTCTTGACTTGGGACAGGCGCAAAATGCGGCGAGGTTAAACATGTTTTTTGAGATCTCAACCCTCCTCCTATAACTCTAGCCAATGTAGAAAAAAACAAACGCACAACAGTACGCACAGTAAAACTCAGTATAAGAGAAGTCCGAGTCCGATGTCAGAATAGGAAACAAAAGAAAATAAACAAAATGACAATAATACATAAATAACAACATACTACTAGCAGTTACTGACATGCCAGCTCCAGACCTCAATTAAACTGATTGAAAGATTATGTCTTCATCATATGAATATCAGGCACAATCCCTCCTGTTAGGGGTTTAGTATTATACCGTCATAAAATGTATGAGAAGAACATAATCCGTGTCATGCCAACAACTGGTTTTAGAATAAATGTGTTTAATTCCGATGCAAAGACCCTATAAGTGAATCAATATTAAAGCCAACATATGCAATCTTTAATGACCTGACAACAGTATCGTAACTATATCCCTTCTTAATAAGTCTGTTTAAAGGTTTTGTTAGCTTTTGATGTGAATACTGACATTTTTATGCTTTGTAAAGAAAATTACCATAAAAGATTGGATGTGAAATACCCGAACGTATAAGATATATATATATATGTTGTGTACAAATTGTAATGTTGTACAAATTATATATGTACAAATTATAATTTGTACAGTATTTTTGTACAAGTTATCAGTATTTTGTGAATCTTTTTATATAATTAGATAAAATAAGCACAGTGCTTTGGTTAAGCTTATCACTGTTTTATTTCCACAACTTTATGCTACAGTCTTGCACATAGTACTGACACAACGTTAATATAAAAACACTAAAATATATTTTGTGGGCATAGAATGTGGTATTAGTCAAACAATAAAAATATAATCTGAATCAATCAGGTGTCCTTATTTGCAGTTTTATGACATATAGGACAGTGCTTAATGTTAGGCTGAAGTATATAAATTTGTGAGTAAAACATCGAGCTGGATAATTATTTCAGATAAACTTGTATCACCCGGTGAAAGAAGGTGTTTGTCAAAATACCGATAACTTGTACAAATACCCTGTACAAATTATAATTTGTACGAAATTACAACTTGTACACAACATTTATATATATAGATTATGTTCTATCACTGCATGACTCAAAGTTTTGCGACTTTGTTGATCGCGTTTATCCCATTGTTGAGTTGAGTCTGTTCAATATCTTGACTAGACGGAATGAATAATTTCCCGTGACAATGACACCACCAGGCAGTATTGTCTCTGTCTTGCCATATAGCATTTACGTGGCCATCTACTATGAACAAATTCCCGCTAAGCGATAAGTGAATTTTACGATTTGATCACACCTCTCATCAGTAGTTCTTTATTTCCATCAGAGTGGGTTGCCCGAATTTCGACTGCAACTGTATCAGGAGGTTATGTTAGACACGAACTCCCGGATTCTGTAACGTGCAAAAACATGAAACTACTCATAAACGCGACATCGGCTTAAACGTCACCTTTAAGACGGGATGATGCTGCGTATTTGCACATTCCGCACAGCCGAACGGGCGCCCCTTTTAAGCATGGGTTTTACTGTATTAAATCTGGCACGAGAAAACTATATTTCTGTACCCCAGTCATTTATTTGGTTTCTTCAGAACGAGAACAAATTATCAATAAATCCAGTAAGTAATAATTCTGCAAAAGGGTTCGTGTGGGATGGTCTGGAGTAAAAGGCAGCAAATTTGGACTGCCACTACGAAAAGTCGGTACGTTGGATAGGGACAATCAAATATCTATCCTGGTACGAACCCTCAAAAAGTGAAAATCAATGGTTCTTTAATTTCAGAAAATCATGCCACTCTCCCTACTCGAGGAATCGGATTAAACGCCCCCGTTCTGAGTAGACGCTTTTTTGGAATAGAATACGCCCACCCTGCATATTAAGATTAAAGTTACAGCGCGGGTTTTACTGCTAGACGGAGAAGTCCAGGTGACCATATTTTTATACACTAGTCCACCCGCGAGGTTATCTTTAAACAGGATAAAAAAAAAATTAACTAGATATTCATAATCACGAAACGTAACATTATTGCACTGGTATAATTTGATTGTCAAAAAGGAGTTTTCAGACATTCTAACTGCATTTATAAATGGCATCAATAGTTCCATCTTTATATTGTTAGTGCTGTGTTGCTTTTCTTTTTTTTGTGTGCGTATGTAATGGGGAGTTGGCTTATGCAAAATTCATTCTATAATACATCATGTTATTAAAAAGTCAAAAATCAATATAGAAAACAAAATAAACATACCAAACTGAATGTATTGTTGTTATTTGGTGTTGCAAAATGGAAGTAACAGTACGCAAAGAACGCATAGAAGACACCGTTTACATAATGTGATATTGTAGAAGTCTCCCTCACATGCTTATAGAAATATGTCGATGGGAAGAATAGCAGTTAGTTCTAATTGGATTTGCCGACTGTCTGTTGAAAAAAAAGTCTACCAAACCGTTGAAACGTAAAAAAGTATGTTGTAAAAAAACAAATCAAGCGTTGTCAGTTTCACAGTTTTAGCCTCATGTTTGAATCATAGATTTTGAATCACATCGATGTCGCGGACGCAAGTACTGTTTGTGGCGAGGTGGCAGCGGCGGCGGCGGCGGTGTCAATAATTTGTTAAAATTTGTGATAATAGTTCAGTTTTAGGGTAACCACTATTGGTAAGTCAATGATATTTGGTATGCAGTTCGGTGTACATTGTATTAGCATTGGCACATGTCTTTTCCAGGAGATGATTCAGTGGCCCCAAACCCTAATTCGTGGTTTGTTCAATTTTGAACTTTTTCATAGTTTCAAAGCGTGTTAAAGCTTTCGATTTGGTCAATTTAAGTGGAACCACTGATGGTATGACTCTGATGCTGTTTGGTATGTAGTTAATATGTATTAGCATTCATTGGCACATCTTCTTTTCATGAACATTATTTGTCCTCGCCTCCTCAGTCATGGTATATTGGCCGTTTGAATTTTTCTATAGTTTTTTACTTTTTTATTAGGTCGGTTTTTATTGGGAACCATGCAATAGTTGGGGGTAAACGATATTTGTTACTATGTGCAGTTGTATTAGCTACTAGCAAATGAACCTCCTTGTCTTCAGACAAATTTCCAAGACACGTCTTGTAGACATCTTGAGACAAATAAAACTGTGTCTTGAGATACGTCTCAAGACACATTTTTGTCACATCCATGTCTTGAGACATTGGTTTGGAAAAGTGTTTGGCGTATTTGAATACACACAAAAACAAATCCTATAGTCTGTGTATGAATTAAGAAAGAATTTTAGCATCATGAATACTTAAGCATGTTAACATGGTTAAGGCCATAATAGGGTCATAATAAGTAAAATAGATTGTACTGCCTCGTCCCTCTGTCATGGCCAAGTTAATTGGCTTTGATGATTTTACACGGTTTACATGTTAGAGTGTCGCATTTTTAATTTCAATATATCCATTATTATACATTTAATGCTATCAAAATTACATATGATAGATATGAGACATATCCGTCTGTGTTAACAATTTATTTAACAAAAGTATAATTTTCCGTTTCTCAAACAAGACATGTGTATCAACGTTGGTTATTTTTATGAAACAAAATTGGACGAATTCTTTAACTCTGTATTTAGGTTTATAACGAAGAATACGTGTATGAAGGATAGAGAAGGCATTATTTTGAAAATTAGTGTACCGTATATATATATATGGAATACACATTATATATGTTATCTCAATCAGCGGCTCTTAATCTTTATCCTCTTTTTTTCACTTTTTTCAAAACTTGCCTCAGATAGGGCACTGATTTGTCGGCCTACCTTTATTCTATTTTCAAAACATTTTCTAGAAGATTTTTAATGTTTTTGACGAATTCTTTAACTCTGTATTTAGTTTTACAACATTGTTTTTGACGTCAGACATCATAGTTGAAAAGAGACTATAGTACTATCAAGCAAGCCGACGGACGCACAGCAACGAACAAGTAGAACTTAATCTGGCCAAAACAAGGATTTGTTATATATATAAATCCTTAGCCGTATGAATAAAAAATGTTATCTACTTTTTTTGTACTTTTTATGATTTTTTTTAAAAACTGACTGAATCAGCATTTCTTTTAAAAAAGGGGGATGAACAATCAATACGCAGAAAATTTCAAATCTGTTTTAAATAACCATTAAAACATTTTCGGCATTAAACCTATTATTTTTATTATACTAATTACGCCATTGACCCGGGATCAGTTACTAATTACCTGAATTTCATCCGTTTTGCCTCGACATGCTCTAATCGTTTTGACCAATCACAAACGTCTTTACAAACTCAAGCTGACAAGGCAAGCGATGCGTCCGGTCGATGCAGGACGGTAAACATTGCATCCGAAAATAAGTTTATAGTGCAAAATCAATGACGCATATGTTGAATTTAGGTGAGGATGATGATTATATACCCTTTAACATTTTTTTCCACAAAGAAATATTCTTATTTGACATTATGAATAAGTTTTATGCATACCTCGATTTTTTACGATGATTTACTTCCCCTTGGTTTATTCCGCAAACACAAATACCCTATACCCTTTCAAAATCTTGATTTAAACTCAAAGTAATCAGACTGGTCAAACAGTTGAAACGTAGTTATCGTTTGTGAATAATTCTTGTTTAGTTTTTAGGTAAAAATGCAATTAAGAGGTACTTGATTTTGAATGACAAATTAAGCAGCTAAAAGTAAAGAACTCCTTACTGTCCAATTGTTGCATGGCATGGTAACAAGACCAACAGTGTTAATATTATTTCTGAAACACAAATAACAAATAAACAGCATGCATACATGTACTGTTAATGATGATTAGCCTGATTAGGCTCTAGGTGTCAGAATTTGTACCACAATATTCAATGTCTCGCCTAATTTCTTTTGAAATTATGTTGCGGGGGGGGACTTTCTGATTTATCCCTCCACTAGTCTCTTTTCATAGCTCCCAAAACATTGTGGAAAACCTTAATGAGCTACTACAACTGGAACCAGTGCAATTTGAACAAGACAGGAGTATCCATACACCCTGAGCAGGTAGACACTGAAAAGTAGACATATTTTCCTTAAAGAACGTGTTAAAATTTGATAAAAATATGTACCTTACTTTTAAAAGTAGCTATAGATCAATTTTGTAAATCAGTGATATTATTTGCCTCAAATAACCTCAGAAATTCGTCTTTTCCTCTAGAGAAAATTCCCAATTACTAAAAAAAAATGGCATAAAATTCCTCCCAATAAGTTGTACATTTTTCCCAAAAGGTGATGGCATCGGTAGTAATGTAGGTAAATTTCATATTCAGCTTATTATTTTGATATTATGACAGTGCTTTTGAGATCCGGGTTTCTGATTAGAATCACCGCGGTGTCTTTAACACACATGGTTTTCAATGTATAAAGTAACATAATTTTTTTGTTTCTTTCCCCTCCCCAAAAATTTCCTTTCCCATTGAAAATTCAAGTTTTAGTACAATTAAATCTTATTCAAAACTTCCCAATTTCCAAAAAAATGATGCATTTTTCCTTAAAAAAAGGGAAGAGGTAGTTTTGAAAAAAGACAACAATATCACATGTAAGATACATTCATTTGATTTCGGCCATATTGTTTTCTTATCTGTGACATTTTTATATTTTGCATGTAAAATGTAAAACCCTAATAAAAAAATTCCTGATATTGGCACCGTTAATTCAGTTTGTTAAAAGTTTGCAACATATTTTCTGTCATTATACAAAATTTATCATGTGACAAAAAAATTAGAATTATAACAATATGGCCAGTCTCTGAACAAAATGGATCTATGCTATTTAAATTTCAGGAATTAAAACATGGAAATGCACTGGTTTGAGGTGTGGTTACCTCTTTTAAATTTTCCAGTCTGTTTTTTGTGAAATGAAAAGAAATTCAGTTATACATTTATGTTGAATATAAAAATTGCTCCTGAAACAGAATCCTAAAAGGGATTACCACAATGATTTTGTTGAAAAATATATAGTGTTGTCACATATACTGCAAGTCTTATATTTCTAATCAGCTGTGGGTAGACGAAATAATTACGGTTGACATACTTCAATTGGGAGGCCTGCTACACATGATTCCGACAACAAAGGTACGCGTGTTATACACTATTGTGTAGATAAATCAATTTAGATTTATGGCATAACAAGTTTTAGTGGGGTTGACAATCGAAATATAACGGAAGTTCACGAATGGGTGACATTTTTAAAAAATGTAAGTTAAGTACCTTGTGTTATATTAAGGTATATAGGATTTTTTTTCAGAGACAAGTGTCTGATGCTGAAAAATGTCAACAATTGTTGTCAAACAGAATCCACAGTGTTAACTCACATTTTCAGTCCAATTTATGTGCTGTGAACTAAATAATATGAATTTAATCCACACAGGAAACATTTTGGTAACACTAACATCAAGACACATACCAGATGAAAAACATTTCAACAACAAACAATCAGAAATATTTTATGTAGCGATAAAAAGCACACGATAATAATTTGTTGTTGACTAATATAGTTATGTTGGTTATTTTTTGCATACACTCAAAATGAGTCTTTTAATGCAATGTTTAATATTAAATGACTGTGAATATTGTTGTTACTTTCAGAGGAACAAATGACCGGGCTGAAGCGGAAGTCATCAGACCTGCCTGGTGATCAGCCACCACCAAAGTTACTGAAGCAAACAACCAGTACAACTTTAGATACAGCAGTTGAGAAAGAGTCTGACATTGATAGTCTCCCTCCTCCTGTGTTGGAAAAGGCAGATACTTATGAAGAGGATAGACCAAAGGCTGTGCCTTATGGAATCAAAGCAAATGACAATGGATCAGACAGTTCAACACCGCCCCCAGTTTTGCCAAGATTTCCAACATTACAGCCCACAAAACTAATGTCTGCTGACAAGTATTTTGGGTTCGACATTCCGAGTGATAGTGATGACGAAGATGACACCATAAGAAAAATAGCTGAATCAATCAGTGTAGGAGAAGATTCAGTAGACAGTATCTCATCCGTTAAACCTAAAATGTCTTCTATGGGAACAAATACACCTTATGATAATGAGAGGTCTACCAGTAAAAAATATGTAAATTTAAAAAGAGCAGATACTTTAACTATATCAGATAGTAATGGGTCAAATGGGGAAGAAAAGAAAGCTAAATTGATTAAAAAAGGCATTATTAAAAAAGTAATGTCACCTAAAAAGAGTTTACAGTCAAAGAAAAGTGTTACCATCAAGAAAGAAAAGTCAGTTATATTGAATTTATTAGAGTCACTTAGAACAGTTCAGAAAATGCCTTCAGGTGCTACTATAGAAAAAATAATGAAATTTGGTAATGAGGAAGTTATAAATTTACCATCGGATAGATCACTTACAGTTTATGAATTTGATGATGAAAAATTTACATCTATCACCTCAAGTAATCTTTTACAGAGACCTTCACTGCAGGTAGTTTCAGACACTTTAAAATCAGTAGAAGATGAGGCACCTGCAGATAGCTCAGCTTTACCAAAACTTGAATGTGTTTCTAGTGAAGAGCTATCAGCAGATGAACTTTCAGATTCAGAGACAAACAATTCAGCTCCAGTCCTTCAAAAAATGTGTATTACTTCTCCCACCAAATCACCTAAAAAATTCATTCACGGTGGAATTAGGGAAATAGTTTTTTCATTTGACACAACTGGCTCTATGTACAGTTATATGGAGGAAACAAAAGAAAAATTGCGAGAAATTGTTGAACGTTTGAAAATAGATATCCCAGGTGTTCGTTTAGCGTTTGTAGCTCATGGGGACTATTATGATTTAAAGAATGATAGATATTTGATTAAATGGCTAGATTTTGGTGCAACTATAGATGAAATATGTAATTTTTTTGAATACTTACCAATTACTCATGGTGGTGATGCAGATGAATGTTACGAATTAGTTTTAAGGAAAGTACGGGAATCTTTATCATGGACAACAGGAAGTCAGCGATGCTTAGTAATGATTGGAGATTCAGATCCTCATGAACCAGGATATCAGTTTGAAGATTTCAAGAACGATATTGATTGGAAAGAAGAGACGAAAAAATTAAATGAAATGGTTGGTAAAACTTGCTATGAAAAGCATCTTTTTTACTCTTTTATCATGAGTTTTTCTTCAAAACTTAATTGAATGTACATGTACAAGGCTGTCATACATTGTAAGAAAGCATAAATTATTAAAGGGTACCGGGTAGTATAAAAGGAAGGATTAAAATTAAAGGATTCAAAATAAAATGAGGAGGCCTCTTTTGAATTAAAATCAGGCCATTTGAAAGTTGTGGAAAGAGAATATTTATCATGTTTATTGTGCTTGCATGACAACAGTTATAAAATATTGGCATCTGATATCGGTGACAGATGTTACATATTGATCATACAAAAACATACAAGATCTTATTAAAACACATTCATGACACTTAATATAACTAATTTCACTTGAATTTTCCATGAAATACATGTATAATAATCATGATAATGAAATTAATGAAAGGAAAATTTTGTTTTTACTTACAAAATGTAGAACATGTAGAAAGATTTGACTTTAACCAACTTCCAGTTCACAGAAACTCATTTGGTCAATTCATTGTCACAGGATGTATACAATCATTTGCTCCATGATTCAATGTAATCAATTTTACATTTGTAACCAGGCCTGGGGCCATTACATTGCAATGTAACGCATTACATTACAATTACTTTGTGATTCTTCCATTACAATTACAATTTCAATTACATTTTTTCTCACATGTAATGCATTACTTTACAATTACTTTGCCTGTGTAATGCATTACATTACACATTACTTTTTCAATATAAAAACTAAAAACATTTCAAAAACAGATTTTTATAAGAAATTGATAAATATTACAGGGGTATATGTACATACATGTATATATACAGCGTTGGTGACATAGACTTCAAATACTGGTTAATTAACATGTCCATTAAACTTGATCATCATAAGTGTTTCAAACGTGCTGTCATTAAGAGAACAGCGATCAGGTCTGTACACCTTTCCGGCAATACTAAAAAGCCTTTCTACAGGAGCTGATGTGGAGGGAATGGCTAAATACTTGAAAGCTGTATTAGCCAAAGAAAAATAAATAAATTATCATATAATTTTGTTTCTAACATTGAGCACTTAATCATTAAGACATCATAAAGGGATTTCAAGGGATATAATAAATGTGTCATTAAAGGATTATCTTGTTAAATGCCTAAGGGCTCTGTGAGGACAAACATAAGTTGTGAAGATTTGATTGCAATAAAAACATTTGATATTAATTAGGTGAAATAACAACACAAGACAGGACCCAAACCACAGTTCGGTGTAAAAATGTTGATTGACATATTCAATCTTTCATTGAAATACATGTAAGGTGTGTATAGAATTATGAAAATTTCATCTTTATATTTTTTCCTTTCATCTATATAGTTTTGTTCAATAATTTTTTTAGAAGATTTTTCATGGACCACCAAACACCAAAATATTCCCAATATCATTTTATACAAATATCAGAAACCAAGATCAAGACTTGATAATTTTCACTTTTTTTCATTTGCTGGATTAAAGTTGAGTTGGCCTAGGGGATTTAGTTATGGACAAACTAAGGGCAAACTATCTATAATGATTTAATACAGTAATTAACTGTGACAATAATTTTATTCAAAACTTTCTTTTGTTTTTACTTTACTATATTCTTCAATTTTATGTATTTTACCAATTTGTAATGAAAAGTAATGAACAGTAATGGAGGCATTACATTGATTTTAAACTAAAGTAATCATTACATTACATGTAATTGTAATGCAGAAAATGTGCATTACAAATTACTTTGCATTACATCAAAAAAATGTAATATTACAATGCATTACAATTACAAATTACCATTGCCCCAGGCCTGTTTGTAACTGCCATAAACCATAGTGGCCAGCTGTCACTGCATATAGTTCCAGATTGTGAAATACCACTGCAAAAGAACATAGCCATTATTTGGCCACTACCTGCATATTTGATAGAGGAAAATCCCTGATCCACTATGTTAACTTTTGTTTTTAAACTGCTTCTTTAAACCTATTGAAATCAATGATTATTCTCTGATAAAAAATCATGTAGATAGTGTTTTTCTATATGTTTGATTTTAATTGTACAATGTACTTGGATATTAATGCAGAAATTTAATCTCTTTTCCAATAAAAAACAAACTGCTAAATATAAATGTATAATGTATTTATTTGCAGGGAGTCAGAATTTATGGAATGCAGGTTGGTTATAGATCAGATTTCTATAGACAGATATCACAGACCACAGGTGGTGCTCATCTACGTTTGGAATCAGCTAATCTTACTCCTGATATGGTTATGTCAGTCTGCTTACGTGAAGGCAATCTTAAACTTCTTAAGGTACTTATTTGTAACATTATATACAGATATTGAAATCAAGACCAAAAATTAATAGCTGTGGGAAAGATTTGAAAAAAAATCATTGTATTGCCTCCTCTACAATTTTCATGCATTTCATGTGAGAAATTGTAGATATAACTTTTCCCTTAAATTTTTCTTATAACATACAAATAAAAAACACTTATCACACATATCTAATGAAAATGCTTCACAAGTTTATACAGGAGCACTGTTCACTTTGCCTTTTTGTTTTTTAGATTGGAGCTATTTCGATTCTTTCCTAACACATTGCATCATCAACCAGAATGTTGCCACAGGGCTCAATCTACTGTGCAAAAAAATTTGCTTTCCTGTCAATCACTTCTTATTACCAAAACAATATCTAGTTGCTTCCGTGCTCATACAGTCACTTTCTTTATCTGTAATAATCAATTTTTATCAAGTTGACATACATCAGTATCACATTTTTATTAAGTAAAGAAATTCAAAGACATATATAGACAATTTATTACTTACGAAACTAAGGGAAAGCATTAACTTTGCAGACTTGTTGATGTTTATATTGTAACAACCTTTTATTTAAACAAATCAAAGCCTGTATCATAGATGTTTTTAGGTTGGATATATGTCCCGGTCCACTGGTATGAGTTGTAAATTGTGTATTAGGCAGCCTTTGCACTATTGTTGAAAAAGAGCATTTTTAATGCATTCTTTTTGCAAAATATGAAAAATCCACTTTTTATCAATATCAAAATCATTCAGATAAACGTTTAAGAATAGAAGATGAAAAATCTTGGCAATTTCTAAAATTGAAAAGTTTTAAGACTTTGCCTAAAGAATATGAATGTTTGCATCTTTTTATGCTAGAGTAAAATCTTTATGGTCAGATTAGGGCAGTGAACATTTCCCTTTATCACATTACAAGCATTCATTAAACTTCAGTGTCATATCTTTTATCAAAATCAATAAGCATTTAAGATTACCCTTAAAGGACTTCGACAAATAGTATACCTACACGAATATTTGACATGTTTGATCATAGAAATTGTCTCAAAAATGGAGACAAAGATCTTTGTTTGAAGTATCTTACTATTGGTCCTAGGTTTTATACAGGAAATACAAGGATAATTTTTTAGAGGAATCTTTATTTGGTAATCCAGTTAAAAAAATGTATAAACTTTAAATTTTAAACAATGAACATGATTTGATGAAAATTTTGAATTTTAATTTAAAAGAAGTTGTTATGCAAATTTAGCATGTTAAGTGACCTTCTTACATTGACATACTAAATGCAACTAAATCAGTGTTCTAGGATTATTATACATATGCAACTTTCCCTAAAAAATTCACTTTTCCACAAGTTTAATGAACTTTCCCTGAATTTTTTACTATTTTAAAAATGTTTTCATAATTTTGTTATTCCTTTTATCGCATGTTTATACATCATCATAACATGTAGTTAGATTTGAAATTATGAACTCTGTTATTTCCTTTGAAATTAATTAGTTTGTCTAACTAGCTTGTGATTGTGTTGATAATTCAATGTCATGTTCATCTAGATATACAAAACATTTAATGGAATATATTAGTTTTATTTTGAAATATATATAAATTTTAGTAAAAAATCACGAATTTGAGATCCGGAAATTAAATCTTTTACCGTTTGTGATCCGGTTATTAGGTTTTTGCTTCTAAATCGGATGGATGCTTGACATCGCGGATTTTCCTTGCTTAGCTGGCAAGGGTATTGATGAAGGTGATCACGAAACACATGCGCACGTTTTTCTCCCTTGGACTTTAGAACCCAGGCATGATTTACACCAACAACAACGATCTCGCTTTGAGACTTTGATTGAAATAAAAGAATACAAACTGTTACATCGATCATTTGATCTGTATGAATAGGAAGTTTCTGTAATTTAATTTTACTTGCCCACGGACAACAAAGTTTTGAATTTCCACTTTCCCGTGACATAAATCAACTTTCCACGGGTGACGGGAAAGGGGAATTCCAGTGTTCTCCCCAGGCCCTTAAAGGACCACAGGACCGCGATGTATAATATTTGACTGTGGTTCTATTGGTCTTACCACGATGTATAATTTTTATCCGTGGTGCTAAAATTTTCAGTTAAAAACTCGTAATTCGGTAAAGTTTTAAACGACTTTTTAAATCTTTTCGGTGTGGTATAAAATTCCAGGTGAAATTTGACCAGTTCAAACAGTTCAAAGCCAGATTGTTTACACCACGTGATCGATTTACCTTATGAGGTTAACCTTGTTGATTGGATTTAATCGATGTAATCAACACTTGTAACATGATTGTTTTGTGTTTTAATTAGGATATCATAATTTTATGATAACAAATAACTACGGCCTCAGCTTGTCTGGCAAAACAGCCTTTGGACATCAGAGTAATCTCGGACTAATATCACATGACCCAGTTAATTCAAGTTTATTTACAATTAATTGCAATCTATTTTATAAATAAAATGCATGACTGTACCTTCAAACTGAATATCTATATCCAAAATTAATGAATGAAAGAAGTGAACAATATTCATAAAGTTAAAATCTATTTATACAAGTATCTACTTCCTGTCATTTAGGGGGGAAATAGGGAGACTTTATTGTTGACATTGAATATGGTTACCTATAGATCTATAGACCCAAGATAGATCAAGGAATTCTTTTTAAATGAATCATGACAAATAAAGATTAAGGTTTTAGTGCAGCACTTAGTCTGTATCTATGGTTGGTCATCACCAAAGACCAGAAAGGTTAATATTTACATGAAATTAACAAATTTTTATTTATGGCAAAATGTTAAAAAGTTTATGAAATTTTTTTTTATTAGAATTTAAGATACTGTAGTAACTGGTTCAAATAATAAAACAATAGTAGGTATTGTAAATTTTATGTCTCCTTAAGACAGGAATCCTTTTATATACAACAATTTTCTATCTAGAAACTAGAAAGTTTTTTAAATTGAACTCTTAAATGATATTTTATTTTAATTGATCATGGATTTTATAAAAGATTTAATTACTATAATTATTTAGTAATGAATCATGTTTTATTTATTTTAAAAAGATATTCAAGTATACAAACTGTTTATTGATTAACTTCTCTTTTACCAATAATTTTCTGACTCAATGTCTACATTACACAGTACCACAGTATTTAAACAAAACAAAAGACATAAAAACAACAGTAACTAGAAATATAGGTCAGCGACGCAATGCGACACGACACATTATACAAATCATTTTACCAAGAGTACGCGTTACCCTGGTGCTATCCAAAAATCCTGGGGAATTCTAGAACACTGCTAAATGCAAAAGCTTAGAAACATTGTCCACATCAGCATACCTCAATGGAAGACTAAATGTCTACATTACACAGTACCACAGTATTTAAACAAAACAAAAGACATAAAAACAACAGTAACTAGAAATATAGGTCAGCGACGCAATGCGACACGACACATTATACAAATCATTTTACCAAGAGTACGCGTTACCCTGGTGCTATCCAAAAATCCTGGGGAATTCTAGAACACTGCTAAATGCAAAAGCTTAGAAACATTGTCCACATCAGCATACCTCAATGGAAGACTAAAAAATTATCGAAATTAAGCTAACAACTCTTCCAATCTTTCCACTTGTGATATGGATCACTTTGATTTTTCATGTGAATCCAGTGATTCTACTAACACAACAATCTATCTTCTTTCAGACTTATGAAGCAGAAGTAATGAAAAGACCAGAATACAAAACTGGATTAGATTTAGAATTAGCAAGACTGTTCAGTTCATTAAAAAATGTAGCAGATAATATTGCCATGAAATTCAAAAAGAACATAATAGAAGGAAGTACAGAAAATGGAAAGAAAGCGATTAAAAGAGAAAATACGTCCACGACAGAGTCACCTGGTACTAAAATAGCCAAAATGGCAAAGAAGGCATTAGCTGAAGATGGGAAGGTTACGAAGAAAGTTAAAACATTGTCACCTGAAAGAAAGCAATCAACATCAGACAAAATTGCTAAGAATTTGATTAAAAAGGCAATAAAAGGAACTAAAGAAAAGAAGAAAACAGCCTTAACTAAAGAGAAAAAGAAAATTTCACTAAAAAGTACAAAAAAATCTGGTGTTAAAAATATTAAAGAGAAAAAGAAAACAGCTGCAAAATTAACTAAAAAGCCTGTTGTAAAGAAAGATATGAAAAAGAAACCAACAAAACCAGGGGTTGCAGGAAAAAAGGCCAAAATTGTGTTAGGTTCTAAAGTTCAAAAAACTATTTCTAAAGGAAAACAGACTGCAACTAAAGTTAAAGCAAAGTCTGTTATGAAAGCAATATTGAAATCAAAGACAGTCAAACCCTCAAAGAAAACACTTTCAATTAGACCAAATACAAAGTTAAAAGCTAAAAATACAGCTGCAAAGAAGGTTATAAAGAATAAAACTATTACTAAAGGAACTTTAAAGAAAGATCCTAAAAATAAAACACTAGGTAAAGTGAAGTCTAAAGAAACACCTGCAAAGAAAACTGTAAAGATGAAAGTAAAAACTCTGGAAATAAAGAAGAAAGAACAAAAGAAATTAGTTGAAAAGAAAAAGGATGCTTCAAAACAAAAAACTGAAAAGAAAGCAAAAAAAAGTTCCCCCGAGAAGAAAAAAACTAAACCACAAGAGAAGAAAGCAACAAAAAAAAAGAATGACGAAAAAGAAAAGAAGTCTGTGGCAAAGACTAGCAAGAAGACAGAAACAAAGAAATCCACTGAACAACCCATCAAGGTATTTTATATTGAAATGTTCACCTTGTACATTTAAATAAATTTGAAGTAAGCTTAATGTCAATCTGACAGCAAACTTATACTACCTGATAAAAATCGATATACAGAGGTTATCATATTTGCCTCTTTTGCTGATAAGCACCTAATTCATATATATAGCATGTAATATTTTCCAAGCTCAAAATTCTATAGAGAGGGGACGGAAGATGAGACATTAGCTAAGAATTCTTGAAATATAGAAAAATTACAAACGTTTATGAAATGAAAGAGAGGCAAAAGATTACAAAGGGATATTCAAACTCCAACATACTTACAATGGCATAACAAAAAATGAAAATGATGAAAAGACAAACAACAGTACACAAAACATGACATAGAAAACTAAAGACTGAGCAACACCAGCCCCCAAAAATGGGGGTTGATTTCAGGTGCTCATGAAGGGTAAGTCTTGTGAGAATTTTTAACAGGTACATGTATGCAAATGTGTGGTAAGGTAAAATTAGTAATATTCTATGGCTTTATTACCTTAGTTGATTTTTGTTTAATGCATCAACTTCTTCATTATGGTGCACTGTTGGTTCTGCTCAACTCTTTATAAACCATTTTTCAAAGTTTTTTTGGTAGAATATATGTACAAACAGGTAAGATCAGGTAAGATGCAGAAAAAGTCTTAATTTTGCTTTTTAATAAACTATTTACAGAATGAGAGGTGGTTGAATTTTTCATATATTGTGCATACTGTCATCTTCTCAACTCTTAGTTTCCAAGATAGATATTTGAATTAGCAGGATACTTGTATTCATGTTAGATTTTTAACACTCTTACATGCCTTTTATATGTATTGTGAAACGAGAAGAATATGATTCTTACAGACACCAAATACATGCAGGGCAAACAAAGAAAAACTGTTCACTGATTAAAATTCAGTGCCAAAACTCTGATCTTACAGAAGGGAACCTTTTGTCACGTTTAAAACATGTAAATAGATATTTTGGTTTTTAAATATGTAGCTTTTTGGAAAAATATACATCTTTTTACCACTATATATGTATATTTTGAAACAGATAACTGTTTACAGAGGTTTGGTTATTGAGTAGTAAAATTTTATCAACACATTAACTGGATTATTTAAGCATTAGTTCAGCTTCATTGATTTTTTTTTTATTATATTGCAGGTTAAAAAACCAAAGAATTTACAGCCAAGAGAAATTGCCAGTATAGCCAAGTTTGTGACTGGACCTTTAAGTTGTTTATCCTGGGAACAGTGGACTCCACTGATTGCTCATGAGAAACCAAGGAGTGGAAATTGGTCTAAAGGGAAAGGTGGATGTCCAGGATATTGTAATTCAGACATTGATAAAGACAAAGACTCTGTGCTTGTCATGTACGAGTTTGCAGTATCACCTCCTGACAGTTCAAAGAAATACCCAGTTTATTTTTATGCACAGAATGAAAATGTATGGGAATTTTGCAAAGATAAATATATTCAGAGAGAACTAGAACGTGTGATCAAATCCAAAGGGTCAGTTAGTGTTCGTAAAGGAACGGTCAATAAGAACGATGAAACCTTGTTCTTAAAAACTGTAGAACATGTTAGAAATATGTTTGATTATGCATGGAACAGTAATGCTTCTAAAGACACAGCTAGAAAGGATGACTTGGTTAAAGAAGGATTCATTATAGCTAAAGTGTGATAACGGATTTATATCAAGTCATCACTGTTCTTATTCCATGTATATGTAATTCCATAGTGTTTCAAAAACTTAGTATTTGCAAGAAATATCTCCCTTTGGATATACAAATTGTACATAATTGTGATCAATTGGTATTTAGAAAAGTGAAAATTTATTATAAAAAATACTTTTGCTAAATTTAAGGCTTTTTTTTTAGAAACAAGATTTGAAAAAATCCTAGCTTTTCTGATCCTTCTTTCTCTTTTCATGTATGGTCTCTTTTTTATACCTGAAGTTCTGATAGGTAATCTTTCCAATTTTAAGAAGGCATCCATGTTTTATTTGAAAATGTCGGTGGTGACCCTTAGAAGTTGAGTGTTTATTTTGTTCGACTTGAGCTTACTAAAAGGGAAATAACTTGTACTTGACAGCTACTTCGGATAACAGAAGGTTTTATAACTTATATATTTGGATTGGTTTCCAAGATAAGAAATTTTTTAAACTTACAAGTGATTATTTTTGTTTTACTCATTGCTCTACTTTTATGTAGCATGAGGCCTATATAAAGACACAGGAATTGTACAAGTGCTACATTTTTTCATCTTCATGTGATTAGATCCAAGAATTGGTGCTTTATCTCATACAGAGTAAATGCATTTTATAATACCATATACATTTTTTATATGGCCACAAAAATTGTATAAAAGTTATCTTCTATAGCAGGCTATGTTTTTTTTTTATTTTCTTTTTAAAGATCATGCAGAAATAAAAAAGGAGATATAAGTAAATGCAAACATTAACTCAAAATAAATGAAACAGTTGTTATCAATGTACAGTTGTATAGTCATTTAATAGATCAAATGGTTTGTAATGTAATTTGGACTATATATTACAAATAAGACAAAGGGTCTTAGAAACACTAAAAAAATGCATAAATGTAAATATACTGCATAATGGTGATTCATTTAAAAGTCATTCTTGCTGGTGTCGTGGGTTTAGAAAAATCAGTATAGAAACCAGGTGATTGCTAGTGAAAGGATATGACACTCTGGGATACAATTTGTTTTCACAGAATACTAATGTTCTAAACAGACCTGTATATTTCAGGATGATTCAATACATTCCCAAGAATACAATGCACATTGTCACCAGCAAATGTGATTTTAAGCTTCTCTGACCTGTAAACTAAGAGGACCTGTCACATTTAGGTTTTTTCCTGTACAATTTAAAAAAATCTTCCTTAACTGAATCTTGGCCAAAGGAGTCTTTATTTAAAATTCTATCCACTCCCTTGCCCATTCCCATAATTAAAATTGTCTTTCTTTAAATTCATACTTATTTTTAATGTTCTATTAAATGGATAAGAAAATTTAATTAAAAATTCCTGCAAAGGCCAAACTGTTAACTTATCATGCTTATTATTATACCCCCGCTTTAAAAAAGTGGGGGTATACTGTTTTACCTCTGTCTGTCCTTCCGTCAGTCCATTCATCCATCAGTCCATCCGTCAGTCCGTCCGTCCCATGAATATTTTCGTCGCATTTTTCTCAGGAACTAATCGACAAGGATTTCTGAAATTTGGTTTCAGGGTATATATAAGTAAGTTACACCGCGTTTTCAGATTCATCACTCAACAACTTCCTGTTTACCGAACACTTGTATTATTTTACACATGATAGCCAAGTTGAAAATTTTCGTCACATTTTTCTCAGGAACTACTTGACAAGGATTTCTGAAATTTGGTTTCAGGGTTTATAAAAGTAAGTTACACCGTGTGATGCGTTTTCAGATTCATCACTCAACAACTTCCTGTTTATCGAACACTTGTATTATTTTACACATGATAGCCAAGTTGAAAATTTTCGTCACATTTTTTCAGGAACTACTTGACAAGGATTTTTGAAATTTGGTTTCATTGTTTATATAGGTCAGCTATACCGTGTGATGCATTTTCAGATTCATCACTCAACAACTTCCTGTTTACCAAAATATTTCGGCGGGGGTATCATCAGTGAGCAGTAGCTCACAGTTTTACTTGTATTGGAAATTTATTTAAGAATAGAATGCTTCTTTTTGTAAATTTATTGGGGTGTAAAAGCGTTGACCGAAGTACATTTTGTATGAAGCGCTGAAGTGCTTCATTCTAAAAATGTACGCACGGTCGACACTTTTACAACCCTATAAAAATGCTTAAAGAAGTATTCAATACTTATAATTACATTTTTTATAGGATCATGAAAACACGATTTCTATCAAGTTTTTATACGACCGCAAACAAATTTTTGTGGTCGTATATTGGTATGACGTCGGCGTCGTCGTAGTCCGAAGACACATTAGTTTTCACACTCTAACTTTAGTTTAAGTGAATGGATCTCAATGAAATTTTACCATAAGGTTCAATACCACAAAAGGAAGGTGGGGATTGATTTTGGGGGTTATGGTACCAACAGTTAAGGAATTAGGGGCCAAAAAAAGCATTTTTGTAACTTCCAGACATAACTTGTGTGTTAGTTTATGGATCTCTCTGACATTGTACCACAAGGTTCCATATCACAAAGGGAATGCTGGGATTGATTTTGGGGGTAATTGCCTCCAAATTTTAGGAATTAGGGGCCAAAAAGGGGCAAAAAACAAGCATTTTTCTTGTTTCATGACAATAACTTGTGTGTAAGTGTATGGATCTCTCTGACATTGTATCACAAGGTTCCATAACACAAAGGGAATGCTGGGATTGATTTTGGGGGTAATTGCCTCCATATTTTAGGAATTAGGGGCCAAAAAGGGGCAAAAAACAAGCATATTTCTAGTTTCATGACAATTACTTGTGTGTAAGTGTATGGATCTTTATGAAATTGTACAACAAGGTTCCATATCACAAAGGGAAAGCTGGGATTGAGTTTGGGGGTAATTGCCCTAAAAGTTTAGGAATAAGGGGCCGAAAAGGGGCCAAAAATTAGCATTTTTCTAGTTTCCAGACAATAACTTGTGTTCAAGTGTATGGATCTCTCTGAAATTGTACTGCAATGTACCATACCACAAAGGGAAGGCTGGTATTGATTTTGGGGGTAATTCCCTCAAAATTTTAGTAATAAGGGCCATAAAAGGGCAAAAAAACAAGCATTTTTCTAGTTTCAGGACAATAACTTGTGTGTAAGTGTATGAATCTTTATGAAATTGACATCAAGGTTCCATATCACAAAGGGAAAGCTGGGTTTGAGTTTAGGGGTAATTGCCCTAAACGTTTAGGAATTTGGGGCCAAAAAGAGGCCATAAAACAAGCATTTTTCCAGTTTCCAGACAATAACTTGTGTTCAAGTTTATGGATCTCTCTGAAATTGTACTGCAAGGTACCATACCACAAAGAGAAGGCTGGGATTGAGTTTGGGGTTGATGAATCATAAGGGGGTTCAAAAAATTTGGGGGAGGGGGATTTTTTTTTCATTTTTTTTCTTTAAAATTTTCCATTTTAAATTGGTTATTTCTGATTTATATATAAAAGCAAATAATAATGATATGGTTTGAATCAGTAAATTAAAATTTTTTAAGTTTTTAGACCACTTTCATTCTGTGTCAGAAACCTATGCTGTGTCAAATATTTAATTACAATCCAAATTCAGTGCTGTATCAAGCTTGAATGTTGTGTCCATACTTGCCCCAACTGTTTAGGGTTCGACCTCTGCGGTCATATCAAGCTGCGCCCCAGCCGAGCATTTTATTATTTCATTTACCAGTGCACTTTATTGTGGAAGCTCGTGTCATCATGAATGTTACATTTCATTTGGAAATGAAGGTTGATTTCAGAATGACGCAAGCTTGCTGTTAGCCAATCAAAATAACGTATTATAATGAAACATACATGTAATATAATTATACTTACATGATGCCTTTAAGAATTATAACTGATTATTTGAACTGTCAGTTTCTAAAATGATCAAATTTATTCACATTATATTTTGAATTATTTATTATGACTTGATCACAACCAAACATTGTGCAAATTGTACCTTTGTAATCCTCCTTGATAGTTAGGTGAATGGCACCAATGACCATGGTAGGGCAGTGTTATCTCTATATATATATATAGCATTGGGGTTTTAGCATCATGGTAATCTGATGCTTTCTTGAATGCAATGCTATAGGAAATGACTTTCTCATAGATTGGGTTATTGATGTGATGCTATAATATCTAGAAACAAGATGGTGTTTAAACATTCCCTGTTTTCCAGGAATATGAAAATTATGGGGAGAACATTAATGAAAAATTATGAATTATGGTGTAACAATTCATTGGTGCTGCCACCTTTACTAAACTTGGGATACCAAGATATGTATATCTTGCATATAGTATGACAATCATATTTTGTCTGTAAATGTTAAACTGTATAGGTACTTTTTTTTTGCAGTGCATTTATTTTCTCTTATTTTGCAGTAGGTGTAATTTCCTGATAATAAATACATGTACACATAAATACTTATGCTGTTTACCTACATGTGAAAAAAGGGTATAAATTATTATTACCTGAAAATATAATTGAACATGCATGTTTACAGGCCCAGACCTGCAACTGTTATGAACCATTAAACATCAAAGAAACCGTTTCAAGATAAGAATAAAAAATGATGATCCAAGCCAAGCAAACACTTTAATTATATAATTAATAGCCTATTTAGACAATACCTTTATCTTAACATCTAAAAGACAACTGATCTCATGATTGAATCATCACAATTTTGAAACACTACCATACCTACTGACACATGGACTTAAATTTACGCATTATTAACATCATGATAAATCTCTAATGGCTGACAAAAGTTCTTAATTTGAACTTGTGTACACTTAAAAAAAGTCTGTTTGTTGATATTGTTTTGTTATCTCAAAAAAAATAAATACACTTGTTTTGTAAATCACTTTAAAATATACATGCACAAAAAATTATAAATACAGTGCTTTATTTAGGTTTCTTTATGTACATGTATTACTTTAATCATCATTCAAAGTAATATTTAGTTCTAATTTATAGGATGTAAAATAAGGAATTATCATATTACTTGTTTCAATTCAAGTAGGAATACTGTATTTTGTTGCATAAAAAATACTTTTCAGTTGTATTAGTATGACTTAATTTCTGTGTCTTTTGGTCTCTTGTGGAGAGTTGTCTCATTAGCAATCATACCACATCTTCTTATTTTTATATTGATTAGTATCTTTGAAGTATTAATGCTTTATTCACTTTAAAGTGAGTAATTTATTTTTAAATCAACTGGATAGTAAGAATTTATTCAACAGAATAGGAACTTCAACCTCTTTTTTTCAAATCTAAACTGAGTTTATAGGTCTGTCTTTCTAATTTAAAAAAAATATGTTTCACTACCTTAAACTTATAGACAAATCAAACTCCGCTAAAGATACTGTGAGCTCTGTCTTTCCTGAACCGTGCATAAATCAGAAAGCTGTTACAACTGAACTATTGCATTATAAAGTAGAATTAATTCCCTTTGAATACTGTTTCCTTATAAATGGGGGTTCATGATTTGACAAGTTTAGAGTATACAGTTCATTTCCATTTTTATAAGAATATTATACCAATTAAATCCATTGTGATCTAGTTCCACAGCTTCAAATAACATTAAATGCTCACACAGAATGGAATATTCTCTTTTGCAATGATTTCAATAAGGGCTTGTAGATTTGTAGACATGGTTGAATGAAAAATTGAACATATGAAATATAAAAACATTGGGTTTTGTTAATACATTGTATATATTTTACATAAAGTTTTGGTCAATTTTAGGGGCCTGTCTTTTAAAAGAAATTGCAATCTTTTATCAGAAATTTTTTACCAATCATTTTTATTAGCGTTACATTAAAGCAAAAGTTACTACTAAAAAAAGGATGAATTAAGACTTTTTTGTACAAATTTTTGTATGCTGTAGTATATTTTTCAGTTAGTCATACCCTTTGAAAATGTTTTATATGATGAAAAATTAGGAAATAATTCAAATGACCATTTATTTATCCATTAAATACTTTGATATAATCTGATAATCAGGTCAACTTGGTTATCATAGTCATTGCATTGATTTAATTAAAGTTTACATTTCATTGTGATAACATTAAATGAACAAATATTAAATGTTTGTGTATGAAAACATTAAATTGTGTGCATGTGTGTTTTTTTATTGTATATAATGTATTTGAAATATGAAAGAGTAAATATAACTCTGATGTATACCAATTTTATAAAAAGAATAACTATTGAATGTATGGTTCAAGAAATGTGTTCATTATGATATGTCTGAAAACCAGTCCAAATTTTGTGGACAGCAAAAAATATTGATTGGAAATATTTTATTTTTTGCAGTGCTTGTATTATACTACATGTAAGATTTTTTTCTGTACAAAAATGTCATATTTAGATTATTTATAATACCACTCTTTTGTACAATTATTTCTTTTGTAAGTGAAGTTAATTATTTCTAGATTGTTAGATCACCTGGCCTATAGAGCTTTTGTCATCGCCTTGCAACTGTCATCTGTCTGTCCTTAAACAATTTTTGTTACATATATAACTTAGGTAAATTGTTCAGAAACTTTAGGGGATTGATGATTTGAAAACCATTGACAAATACTCATCATTTAATGTAGATTAGACAGGAAAGATTTGAACATTGTTGTCCATTTAAACCTATGAAAAATTACATTCTCATCTTTCTCTAAAACTTTGCCATTTAAAAAAACTTTACATCCACATCCTTTAGTCTCTGGTTGATAGTCGTCTCATTGGCAATCATACCACATCTTTTTTCTAGGAATGATGTCAGGAAAGTCCATATAAGGTTCTGATTAGATAAAAAAAAATGACAGCCAGAGTCAGTCTTTGATTCTGATTTTTCAAATGTTTTTAAATCTTGTTTGAAACTACAAAGAAAAATCCTGTTTTGAAGCTTTAATGAAATGATGAAAAGAAAATCATTTGTAGATGTCAGATTTTTAGGAACCTTTAGTTTAATAATCAGTTTAATCATAGTAAAATGTCTTGCATTTCCTCCAAAATATTTCAATAATTAATAAAAAGTGTTAGAATGTAGAGTAAGTACAGAGAAATTAGTATTATTGATTTATGTTTTATAGGGCAGAGATGGATTTAAAGGGGACAGGAGGCTCAGACCCCCTTTATGGGACTGCATACGTGTATAAGGTTAAAGCACAAGACTTTCTACTAGTCCCTTTCCAAATGTAGTCTTGCTGCTGCTGCTACCTCCCTTTTTCAGTATCCTGGATCCCCACCTGTAGGGACACATTACACTGTTACCAGATGATTCAATAACACCGCAAGAATTGTGTATTGGTGATCACATGTCTAAAAATTGACCCCTTATCACATATAAAGTTTGAGAAATTGCCTCCATGACAAAACTAGGATAGTTATTCATACGTATAGGAAATGAGAGAGGGTTCATAATTATATACTTGTTGTTTAAATGAATTTATATTTTATATTTTAAACATGCAATGTAACCACAAGCGTTAAATGCATTTTGTAAAATTAATACTTTAAAAGTAAAAGAATTGTTTGAATGTACATCTTTCATATTATAGTTCACAGTCAACTTAGTTGAGGTTAACAACAAAAATTAGTTCATTTTTTAATTGCAGATAATATAATCATCAATTGTGTAACTCAAACTAAACAAAAAGATTCAACTCTAGACATTGGAGGTTTTTGACATACAGTAAGCAATAAAAAAAAGATGCCTGCACTGATCCCTAAAATATTTTTGCATATCAATTTAAGGAAAAGATTGAAATATAAGAACAAAGACTGTAAGAAATGTAACTTTTTTATTTTTTGTATGAAACATTTTTGGGTAAAGATTGCATGAAATGCAATCAAAACCTTATGGTACTGACTTGATATCTTTATCACTACTTTTGAGATACACAAAATATAGTGCATTGATCATAACATTCTATACATCCTATCCATGAACATTTCAAGAAATTTATCAATGATGTTCAAGTTAGGAAATGATGTTATACCTGTCAAGCCAATAAGATAACTTGTGCACGGTGCAGGAATCTAAAGATCTGTTCTAAAATTATCAATGATGTCATTGTTAAAGTTATCATTAAAAATTTGAGTTATCTCCCTTTGACCATAATTTGTAGTTGAATCAAAACTACAAACTATGCTTTATACAATGCAATGTTTAATTTCAATTCCCACTGACAAGTTATAGCAATCTTTACCTTTTCGTGCTTACAAGCACTTTGATTTAACAACAGTTTTGTTAAAATTCTGATGGTTGAATTGACTTTTTTTTCTTACAGTGTTAATTTTTTATTGGCTAAAAGGCTTGTTATTTGAGTATTTGAAGTTTTTAGGTGTATTTTTTATGTTTGTGTTATTTATCTGCATGTTTTAGATGTGAAATAATTGCAAAAAAGAATATTTTTTAATGAAATATATACGGTATAATATTGAAGTAAATTGATTATTTGTGATTTATAAATACAAGTCTTTGTCTTATTGATCTCAGCCTGACTAAAAATCATTTTCATTTGAAATTCATTCTTAGTTTGTTAATCTGTCTTTTTATTGATCCTCACCTGACATCAGTCTTTTCAAGCTAGTCTTTTGATCTTTGTTGATTGATCTTTCACTTGATTTTCATTGATCTCAGCTTGACTCAAAGTGCTTTCACCTTTTACTTGGCAACATCAGTCAGTCTTAAGATTTCTCTCTATGTCATTATGCCAGCTTGACTAGGAGAGTTTTAGTTTGAATTAACTAATTCTTAAATTGTATATCTTTCTTTCTCTATGGGTCCCAGTCTTACTTTAAAAGCTTTCCTTTGACATCAGTCATCTCCTAGGTTGTTTACTGATTCCAGCATGACTGGGAGCTTTCCAATTCACTTGACATGCATTATTTTCTGCTTTTACAGTTGTGGATAGTTTGACATTTTAATATTCTCGTGTTTTAGCATGGAAGCTGCCCATACAAGGTTCTGTTCCAAGTGTAGATACTTTGGTTTTACAGTTGTGGATAGCTTGACATTTTAATATTCTCTTATTTTAGCATGGAAGCTGCCCATACAAGGTTCTGTTCCAAGTGTTGCTACTTTGGTTTTACAGTTGTGGATAGCTTGACATTTTAATATTCTCTTGTTTTAGCATGGAAGCTGCCCATACAAGGTTCAGTTCCATGTGTTGTTACTTTGGTTTTACCATCCTTAATTGCAACCAGAGCCCTTGATTAGAAGTAACTTACAAAGATTTTTTGAGAATATGCTGAAACATGTACATTGTAAAGGTTTGGTTCAATTTATTATGTCTCCCCTTCAAACAAGGGAGACCTGTTAAAGTGTTATTGTCAACTAAAAGTGTTCTTCCTAGTTATTGATCTGTTTTAGTCATCACATGACAAAAAAGGGGATTATTACTTTCAAGTTTGCCTCAATGAAGTTAAGTCAAACAATTGTAGTACCCAAACCTCATTGTGCATCCTCATAACCGACTTGTTCTTATAAACCAATAGAAAATTAATGTATAGTTTGATATAGAAAGACTGGAATCTTTTTTAGCTCACCTGACCCTTTAGGTTAACAAGAGCTATTGCCATCGCTTGGTGTCTGTTGTCTATCGTCAGATACAAACCTTTCAAAACTAATAAACCAATTAAGACCAAAATTCACATGATTAATCATCAGGGTGTCTATCTGATTATATCTTTTGAATCGTGTTTTGGTCATCAACCAACATGGCCATCATGGCAAAATAAAACTAACAAAACAGCAGTGAAATGTCTAGTATGCAGGGATGGGTTGAGAACTTTAAAATGTAATTGATTTAATTACAATTACATTGCTATTTTATTGTAATCGATTACATTAAAATTACACCTAAATTCAAATGTAATCAATTACATTAGATTACTTTTCTTGAAAGTAATCATGTTCACTTTGGATTACTTGTGATTAAATTGTATATTGTAATATTAAAGAATTTCTTATAAACTTTTTATCTTCACAAAAAAGCTAATTTTTGTGAAATTTTATATCTTTTATTTATTTGTCTTATTAATAATTAAGACTAGGAACTGTGTAACATGTGTAAATTTTGATATTAAACATAGATAAGTGCCCTGTTTCTGTAAAAGAAATAACACTGCTTTTATTAAAATTTTAGCCAACTGCAAATTTCCAATATAATAACAAAAAAACCTGAACAAATAATGAAAAATTAATTTTAAGTAGTTTTATTGTCTGTTGGGATATAATTGACACATACATATGATTTTACAGGTGATAATCACTGCTTCAATATTTTTGACAAACAATTGGTGAGCTTGGATATTAAAAATTAATTGTCTTAATTGCAATATCAATAAAGTTATCAGTAGTTTATTTTCATAATGTTGATCATCAAAGTCAAAATTGGAACTAAATTTGAATTTTCCTGTAGTTATAACAAAATATTGTGTAAACTAAAATTGGAGTTAATGTGAGAAGTATTCCATCAGGGAACATAAAATGCTTTCAAAGCATATTCTGTTATCACAAGGATTCAATCTCACAATGAAACATTTGGAAAGCTAAATTCCTTTAGTGAACTGTTTACAAAATAAATCACACATTTCCACTTGTTATATAGATGATATGATCAATCATAGTGAATACTTGTTTGATATTTTTTTT